ACAAACGTAGTGCTGATGTTGATTCCAGAGGCAGTTTGGAACTCGGTAGTGAGTGTTTGCAACCGAGGACAGAGTGCTTCAGCACTTGGCGGTCCTGTTCTGTGAGCTTGTGTGGCCTACCACTTCGCAGCTGAGCCGTTGTTGCTCCTAGACGTTTCCACTTCACAATAACAGCACTAACAGTTGACCAGGGCAGCTCTAGCAGGGGCAGAAATCGGACAAACTGACTCTCTGGAAAGGTGGCATCCTATGACGGTGCCACGTTGAAAGTCACTGAGCTCTTCAGTAAGGCCATTCTACTGCCAATGTTTGTCTATGGAGATTGCATGGCTGTGTGCTCAATTTTATACACCTGTCAGCAACGGGTGTGGCTGAAATAACCAAATCCACTAATTTGAAGGGGTGTCCACATACTTTTGTGTGTATGCACACACACAAACACAAACAACCAGTCAAAAGTTTGGACACACCTACTCATTCAAGGGTTTTTCTTTATTTTTACTATTATTTACATTGTAGAATAATAGTGAAGACATCAAAACTATGAAATAACACATATGGAATCATGTATTAACCAAAAAAGTGTTAAACAAATCAAAATATATTTTATATTTGAGATTCTTCAAAGTAGCCACCCTTTGCCTTGATGACAGCTTTGCACACTCTTGGCATTCTCTCAACCAGCTTCATGAGGTAGTCACCTGGAATACATTTCAATTAACAGGTGTGGCTTCTTAAAAGTTAATTTGTGGAATTTCTTTCCTTCTTAATGCGTTTGAGCCAATCAGTTGTGTTGTGACAAGGTGGGGGGGATATACAGAAGATAGCCCTATTTGGTAAAAGACCAAGAGAAACGACAGTCCATCATTACTTTAAGACATGAAGGTCAGACAATTCGGAAAATGTCAAGAACTTTGAAAGTTTCTTCAAGTGCAGTCGCAAAAACCATCAAGCGCTATGATGAAACTGGCTCTCATGAGGACCGCCACAGGAAAGGAAGACCCAGAGTTAACTCTGCTGCAGAGGATAAGTTCATTAGAGTTACCAGCCTCAGAAATTGCAGCCCAAATAAATGCTTCACAGAGTTCAAGTCACAGACACATCTCAACATCAACTGTTCAATTGAGATGGTTTGGGATGAGTCGGACGGCAGAGTGAAGGGAAAGCAGCCAACAAGTGCTAAGCATATGTGGGAACTCCTTCAAGACTGTTGGAAAAGCATTCCAGGTGAAGCTGGTTGAGAAAATGCCAAGAGTGTGCAAAGCTGTCATCAAGGCAAAGGGTGGCTATTTGAAGAATCTCAAATATAAAACATATTTGTTTAACACATTTTTGGTTACTACATGACTCCATATGTGTTATTTCATAGTTTTGATGTCTTCACTATTATTCTACAATGTAGAAAATAGTAAAAATAAAGAAAAACCCTGGAATGAGTAGGTTTTGACTGGTACTGTATATGCACACATACATACATATAAATATCCATAAAAAGTCCATATCAATATGCATTGATTTCTCAGTCTGTGTTTAAAACAATGCTGTGTTCTTCAGCGTCAACACGGTCCTATTCATTAGGACACACCGTACCAAAATGTTTTGCAACACATGCCGGAAACAAGTGTTTATCATTGGTCACTTTTCCTGTTTGTCAGTTTTCCTCTGTTTGGTTCCTAATGAATATGACTCATCTCTCTCCAGTGCCCACCCAGTCATCCTCCGTCTGTCTCAGGGCCCACCCAGTCATCCTCTGTCTGTCTCAGGGTTGGGACAGTCCGCTCCACTATCGTAGTCCTGGGGGTGGTTCCTTGGTCTTGGCAGCATCTTCTCTGCTAGTGGTGGTGACGGTGGGGTCTGTATATCTCTATACAGCACGCACTTTAAAGAGAAACCAAAGAAGAGAGCTGTGATTTGGGGGTCAGGGGTCAGGTCAAAGCCCTAATAAAAGGTCAGGGGTCAGGTCAAAGCCCTAATAAAAGGTCAGGGGTCAGGTCAAAGCCCTAATAAAAGGTCAGGGGTGAGTTCAAAGCCCTACTAAAAGGTAAAGGGTCAGGTCAAAGCCCTAATAAAATTGCCTTAAGAGGACAAATAACGTTGTTTGAATTGAAGGTGGGGCTGGGGTTGGAAAACCAATCAGGTAGGAAGGAGTAGCCGGGTGGAGGGGAGGGGCTAGGATATGACATCATGAGTGTCGCTGTTAGGTCGTTGTTGACGGTTGGCCACAGGAGGGAGGGGCTTGCCGAAGAACTCTGAAAGAGAGAGAGGAGGAGGGAGAGGAAGAGGGAGACAGGACTAAATTAGCTCCATCTATGTAAGGCCGGCTACTGGTTTCTGTTACCTGAAATCAAACCAAGCATGTCAGAAATCTGTTATGTGTACTTCCTAAACAATATTAACATGATCAACTGTACACAGTACATACATCAAGACGACTTCAACGACGTAAGATCCCTTGAATAAAGGGACACAGGTGGCAGGTAGGATGCATGTAGGAAATGGAGTCAGTGTTGTTAAACATGCTCTGTAGACATAGAGAGAGGAAATGGAGTCAGTGTTGTTAAACATGCTCTGTAGACATAGAGAGAGAGGAAATGGAGTCAGTGTTGTTAAACATGCTCTGTAGACAGAGAGAGGAAATGGAGTCAGTGTTGTTAAACATGCTCTGTAGACAGAGAGAGGAAATGGAGTCAGTGTTGTTAAACATGCTCTGTAGACAGAGAGAGGAAATGGAGTCAGTGTTGTTAAACATGCTCTGTAGACAGAGAGAGAGGAAATGGAGTCAGTGTTGTTAAACATGCTCTGTAGACATAGAGAGAGGAAATGGAGTCAGTGTTGTTAAACATGCTCTGTAGACATAGAGAGAGGAAATGGAGTCAGTGTTGTTAAACATGCTCTGTAGACAGAGAGAGAGGAAATGGAGTCAGTGTTGTTAAACATGCTCTGTAGACATAGAGAGAGGAAATGGAGTCAGTGTTGTTAAACATACTCTGTAGACAGAGAGAGAGGAAATGGAGTCAGTGTTGTTAAACATGCTCTGTAGACAGAGAGGAAATGGAGTCAGTGTTGTTAAACATGCTCTGTAGACAGAGAGAGGAAATGGAGTCAGTGTTGTTAAACATGCTCTGTAGACAGAGATAGGAAATGGAGTCAGTGTTGTTAAACATGCTCTGTAGACAGAGAGAGGAAATGGAGTCAGTGTTGTTAAACATACTCTGTAGACAGAGAGAGGAAATGGAGTCAGTGTTGTTAAACATGCTCTGTAGACAGAGAGGAAATGGAGTCAGTGTTGTTAAACATGCTCTGTAGACAGAGAGAGGAAATGGAGTCAGGAATGGCTGAAATATTAAGTACAGACAGATGGGTTAGTTAGTAGTTACCGTATTTTCCGCACTATAAGGCGCACTTAAAAGCCTTTAATTTTCTCAAAAAACGACAGTGCGCCTTATAATCCGGAGCGCCTTATATATGGATCAATTGGTTAATTGGTTGATCCATACTGGTTGTACACGGCGCTCAAGGCGCTCTGTCAAAATGTTTCAGTATGAAAAACCAATAAAAACAATTTAATAATAAGAAGAATGAAGAATTCGAGGGATTCGTGGACGGGGAATGAACTGAAAAAGTGAGCTTTACGTGTTATATGTAACTGAACAATGTTGAGTTATGCACTAACGTTTGATTTAGTGGTATCAGACTGTTTCTTTTACTACGTGTATACTGAATCGGGGAAAAGTTCCCCTCCACGTTTGGGAGAAGAGTGAGCAAGGCTGGGAGATATTGTTAATATGCACATTAACGTTTGAACAACGTTACCATGGGAGTGAACGGAGTTGTCAGACCGTTTAATAAAGTTAAGACTTTATCTGACTGTTTTGTTGACATTCCCTTTAGCACAGCTCCATCTAGTGGATGCATAACGCAACCCCAGTCAAACGTTTGACTGCAGTCTCTTCTATTCTATGCGCCTTATAATCCGGTGCGCCCTATATATGAAAACAGTTCTAAAATAGGCCATTCATTGAAGGTGCGCTTTATAATCCGGTGCGCCTTATAGTGCGGAAAATACAGTAGTTAGTGGTTAACATACAGGAGTGGAGTGGTGTTGGAGTTAGTCAGATGACAAGGCTAGACAGTCACTTTAAACATCATTACCAGATCGGCTCCTATCCCCAAGAGGCTCCAGCTTGGGAAGCCTAGACATTTTGGGAGTGGCCCATCCCACTAAAACAACAACAACAAAATAGATTATTAGGAGAAGCCCATCCCACTAAAACAACAACAACAAAATAGATTATTAGGAGAAGCCCATCCCACTAAACACAACAACTAATAGATTTATTAGGAGTAGCCCATCCCACTAAAACAACAACAACTAAATAGATTATTAGGAGTAGCCCATCCCACTAAAAACAACAACTAAATAGATTATTATGGAGAAGCCCATCCCACTAAAACAACACAACTAAATAGATTATAGGAGAAGCCTCATCCCACTAAAACAACAACAACTAAATAGATTATTAGGAGAAGCCCATCCCACTAAAACAACAACAACTAAATAGATTATTAGGAGTAAAGCCCATCCCACTAAAACAACAACTAAATAGATTATTAGGAGAAGCCCATCCCACTAAAACAACAACAACTAAATAGATTATTAGGAGAAGCCCATCCTAAACCACTAACTTAATTATTAGGAGCCATCCCACTAAAACAACAACTAATAGATTATTAGGAGAAGCCCATCCCACTAAACACAACAACTAAATAGATTATTAGGAGAAGCCCATCCCACTGAAAAACAACAACTAAATAGATTATTAGGAGAAGCCCATCCCACTAAAAACAACAACTAAATAGATTATTAGGAGAAGCCATCCCACTAAAACAAACAAACAACTAAATAGATTATTAGGAGAAGCCCATCCCACTAAAACAACAATCAACTAAATAGATTATTAGGAGAAGCCCAATCCCACTAAAAACACAACAACTAAATAGATATTAGGAGACCCATCCCACTAAAACAACAACACTAAATAGATTATTAGGAGAAGCCCATCCCACTAAAACAACAACAACTAAATAGATTATTAGGAGAAGCCCATCCCACTAAAACAACAACTAAATAGATTATTAGGAGAAGCCCATCCCACTAAAACAACAACTAAATAGATTATTAGGAGAAGCCCATCCCACTAAAACAACAACAACTAAATAGATTATTAGGAGAAGCCCATCCCACTAAACAACAACAACTAAAAAGATTATTAGGAGAAGCCCATCCCACTAAAACAACAACAACTAAATAGATTATTAGGAGAAGCCCATCCCACTAAAACAACAACAACTAAATAGATTATTAGGAGAAGCCCATCCCACTAAAACAACAACAACTAAATAGATTATTAGGAGAAGCCCATCCCACTAAAACAACAACAACTAAATAGATTATTAGGAGAAGCCCATCCCACTAAAACAACAACAACTAAATAGATTATTAGGAGAAGCCCATCCCACTAAAACAACAACTAAATAGATTATTAGGAGAAGCCCATCCCACTAAAACAACAACTAAATAGATTATTAGGAGAAGCCCATCCCACTAAAAAAAAACAACCCAAATAGATTTTTAGGAGAAGCCCCTCCCACTAAAACAAACTAAATAGATTTTTAGGGAAAGCCCCTCCCACTAAAACAAACAACAAACTAAATAGATTTTTAGGAGAAGCCCATCCCACTAAAACAAACAAAACTAAATAGATTATAAGGAGAAGCCCCTCCACAAAAACAACAAACTAAATAGATATTAGGAGAAGGGGCCCCTCCCACTAAAACAACAACTAAAATGATTATTAGGAGTAGCCCATCCCCCTAAAACAAAACTAAATAGATATTAGGAGAAGCCCATCCCACTAAAAACAACAACCTTAAATAGATTTTAGGAGAAGCCCATCCCACTAAAACAACACCCAAATAGATTATTAGGAGAAGCCCATCCCACTAAAACAACAACTAAATAGATATTAGGAGAAGCCCATCCCACTAAACAACAACCCAATAAAAAAGTTTTTAGGAGAAGCCCATCCCTAAAACCAACCAACTAAATAGATTATTAGGAGAAGCCCATCCCACTAAAACAACCAACTAAATAGGATTATGGAATAGGAGAAGACCATCCCACTAAAACAACAACTAATAGTATTTATTAGGAGTAGCCCATCCCACTGAAAACAACCAACTAAATAGATTATTAGGAGAGCCCATCCCAACTAAAACAAACAACTAAATAGATTAGTTAGGAGAAGCCCATCCCAACTAAAACAAACAACTAAATAGATTATTAGGAGAAGCCCATCCCACTACAAACCCAACAACTAAATAGATTATTAGGAGAAGACCCAGTCCCACTAAAACAACAACAACTAAATAGATTATTAGGAGAAGCCCATCCCCACTAAAACAAACAACAACCCTAAATAGATTAGTAGGAGGAAGCCCATCCCAACTAAAACCAACAACTAAATAGATTATTAGGAGAAGCCCAATCCACACCTAAAACAACAACCTAAATAGATTATTAGGGAGAAAGCCCAATCCCACTTAAAACAACAACTAAATAGATTATTAGGAGAAGCCCATCCCACTAAAAAACAACAAAAACTAAATAGATTATAAGGAGAAGCCCATCCCCTAAAACAACAACTAAATAGATTATTTGGAGTAGCCCATCCCACTAAACAACAACCCAAATAGATTATTAGGAGAAGCCCATCCCACTAAAACAACACTAAATAGATTATTAGGAGAAGCCCATCCCACTAAACAACAACTAAATAATTATTTTGGAGAAGCCCATCCCACAAAACAACAACTAAAAGATTATTAGGAGAAGCCCATCCCACTAAAACAAAAAACAACTAAATAGATTATAAGGAAAAGCCCATCCCACTAAAACAACAACTAATAGATTATTAGGAGTAGCCCAAACCCACTAAAAAACAACTAAATAGATTTTTAGGAGAAGCCCATCCCACTAAAAAACAACAAACTAAATAGATTATTGGAGAAGGCCCATCCACTAAAACAACAAATAAATAGATATAAGGAGAAGCCCATCCCACTAAAACAACAACAACTAAAATAGATTTTTAGGAGAAGCCCATCCACTAAAACAACACAACTAAAAGATTTGGAGAAACCCATCCCAAATAAAAACAACACAACTAAATAGATTATTAGGAGAAGCCCCTCCCACTAAAACAACAACAACTAAATAGATTATTAGGAGAAGCCATCCCCCTAAAACAACAACCAAATTTAAAAAGATTATTAGGAGAAGCCCATCCCACTAAAACAACAACAACTAAATAGATTATTAGGAGAAGCCCATCCCACTAAAACAACAACTAAATAGATTATAAGGAGAAGCCCATCCCACTAAAACAACAACTAAATAGATTATTAGGAGAAGCCCATCCCACTAAAACAAACAAACAAATAAACAACTAAATAAAGATTCAACATGTTCATTAATACTGATGAAACTGTGTTCCAGCCCAGTCATTGGTCTGCCACGCCTATGGAGGGCTTAAAAGGGAAAAGGTCAGGTCTCATTGAAATGCTAAAAGACAATGTGTGTGTGTGTGTGGCTGTGTGTGTGTGTGGCTGTGTGTGTGTGGCTGTGTGTGTGTGTGTCTGTGTGGCTGTGGCTGTGTGTGTGTGTGGCTGTGTGTGTCTGGCTGTGTGTGTGTGTGTCTGTGTGGCTGTGTGTGTGGCTGCGTGTGTGTGTCTGTGTGTGTGTGTGTCTGTGTGGCTGTGTGTGTGTCTGTGTGTCTGTGTGTGCGTGTGTGTGGCTTGTGTGTGTATGCGTGTGTGTGTGTGTGTCTCTCACCAGGTAGGGGTGGAGGTTTGGAGCTCTCGGGGGCTGCCGTCTCGTCCGTCCTCAGCGGGTCCACTTTGTGTTTCCTCTTTAATCTCAGTTTACCAGTCTTCTTCTTAGTCTGGTCCACTGAGGCTGACGCTGCACCGCTCTCCGGAGTCTGTCTCTCACCCTCCTCTTCCTCCTCTTCCTCCTCCTCCTGACCTCCTTCGCCAGCATCGTTGGCAGCACCCTCCTGTCCTCCTCTCTGTGTATTCTTCAGCCGCTCTTCATTCTGCATGGATGGAACCCCCATGGTATACACACATTAATACAGCTAGAACACACAACCCATTTACTGACCACTGTGCAGCTCAAATGGTACCCTATTCCCTAAAGGGTACACTACAACTACACAGAGCTCTGGTCAAAACTAGTGCACTATATAGGGAATAGGGTGCCATTTCAGACGCATTGGTCCGAGCTCAAACAAATCAAAATCAACAAAAAGTGATGCTGATTGGCCCAGTGTATTCCACACCTCGTTGATGACGTTGCCTATTGGCTGGAAGGGGCTGGGTATGGCGTCGTCGTCTGTCTCCTCCTCCTGTAGAGTCCGGCCCTCCCTCTCCGCCTCCTCCTTCTCCTGACGGTCTCTGGGACCAGGGAGACGAGGGACATTCAGCAGTTCACTTCACAATCAAAACACGGACCCCCTATATCTTACACCCTGTGTCCTGGGGGAGATCAAACACTGACCCCCTATATCTTACACCCTGTGTCCTGGGGGAGATCAAACACGGACCCCCCTATATCTTACACCCTGTGTCCTGGGGAGATCAAACACTGACCCCCTATATCTTACACCCTGTGTCCTGGGGGAGATCAAACACTGACCCCCTATCTCACACCCTGTGTCCTGGGGAGATCAAACAGACCCCCTAATCTACACCTGTGTCCTGGTGGAGATCAAACACTGACACCCTAGATCTTACACCCTGTGTCCTGGGGAGATCAAACACTGACCCCCTATACTTCACACCCTGTGTCCTGGGGGAGATCAAACACTGGACCCCCTTATATTCACACCCTGTGTCCTGGTGGAGATCAAACACTGACCCCCTATATCTTACACCCTGTGTCCTGGTGGAGATCAAACACTGACCCCCTATATCTTACACCCTGTGTCCTGGGGGAGATCAAACACTGACCCTCCTATATCTTACACCTGTGTCCTTGGGGAGATCAAACACGGACCCCCTATATCTCACACCCTGTGTCCTGGTGGAGATCAAACACGGACCACTATATATTACAACCCCTGTGTCCTGGGGGAGATCAAACACTGACCCCCTATATCTTACACCCTGTGTCCTGGTGGAGATCAAACACTGACCCCCCCTATATCTACAACCCTGTGTCCTGGGGGGGATCAACACACTGACCCTCCTATATCTTACACCCTGTTCCTGGGGGAGATCAAAACACGGACCACTATATCTTACAACTTAACACCTGTGTCCTGGTGAGATCAAACACGGACCCCCTAATCTCTACACCCGTGTCCTGGGGAGATCAAACACTGACCCCCCTATATCTTACACCCTGTGTCCTGGTGGAGATCAAACACGGAGCCCCTATATCTTACACCCTGTGTCCTGGGGGAGATCTCTCGAGGATAATTGCTTTTGCTGAGACAATGACAGTAACTCCTGACCTCCAGATTTGAGTTAAAATTAGGACTGTCAAAAAAAGATTAAAATAATTAAAATCGAGTTAACGGCATTTGTTAATCGCAATTTTTGAATTTGCTCAAATTTAGCCCTGAATAAATATTTTTTTTCATTTAAAAAGCAGTGCATTGAGTTACAGGCATACTTTGTAAGGGAAGGAATCTCTCATTTTAGAAGGCATTGTTTTGAGTTATAGTGACCCAGCCGAAGCCAGGCGAGTGGGTTGTCCGCTTTGACGCCTTGCTCAACTACACCCTGTCTGCTTCTGCATTCTATCGTCACACAAAACAAATCCACACGTTGTCATTATCCACTTTTCTTTTGGAGCTCCGACGGCATCTGGTGAGTTCCTTCTCTTTCCTCCCGTTCTCACACAGCCCGCTCTAGCACATGCAGACTACCTGGGAAGAATGTTTGCGTAGCCGATTCCCTTTTCAGTTCTTCCTGTGTCATCCAAATGTGTGCATCGCCTGGTCAGTGGTCAAGTTATCAGGTTGCTAGCTAGGTAACATGACTAGCTAGACAATGGCGTTTGTTAAGAAAACAAAAAACAGCGTCTCGCGAGTAGTTCAAAACGGCCATCCCGCGGCAGAAAGAAAAAAACACATAGCTCCGGTAATTAGGGAGCATTTCGTTGACATGATTTTGTAGAGAGGCGCACGGTCTCCAGCGATGTAAATGGTGTAAGCATTTACTTTTGCTATTTTCAGTGTTGTGTTCTGCGCTTGAAAAAAAAGGTCAGTGCGGAAACACGTGCGCTTAAAATGTTCGGTGCAGTGAAGAAATGGAGACGTGATTAACGGCGTCAAACCATTTTACAGCAATAAACACGTGGGAGCGTTATTACACGTTATCTTTGACAGCCCTAGTTGGAATACATTCTCTGATTAGTGTCTTAAACCTTTTGTGGTTTCTGCATATCCTCTTTAACCCCCTCCCTCCCCCCCCCTCCTCCTCCTCCTCCTCCTCTTCCTCCCCCCCTCCTCCTCCTCTTACTCCCCCTCCTCCTCCTCCTCCTCCTCTCTTCCCTCCAGCCTCCTCTACAGCCAGCAAGGTACTTGGACTCAGACACGCTTGAGGAGATCTTTAAGGTCAGGTCAGACCCAAGCCACCCCCTGTACCTGGACTTTGAACTACTCCCCTTTGGGTATAGGGTATAGGGCGGGCAGCCCCCCCCCACAGGAAAATCAGGAGGAGATCATCAGCTGGTTAATGTTCCTATCACTAAGGAGTGATATCTCTCCTAATCAGCTGGTTAATGTTCCTATCACTAAGGAGTGATATCTCTCCTAATCAGCTGGTTAATGTTCCTATCACTAAGGAGTGATATCTCTCCTAATCAGCTGGTTAATGTTCCTATCACTAAGGAGTGATATCTCTCCTAATCAGCTGGTTAATGTTCCTATCACTAAGGAGTGATATCTCTTCTAATCAGCTGGTTAATGTTCCTATCACTAAGGAGTGATATCTCTCCTAATCAGCTGGTTAATGTTCCTATCACTAAGGAGTGATATCTCTCCTAATCAGCTGGTTAATGTTCCTATCACTAAGGAGTGATATCTCTCCTAATCAGCTGGTTAATATTCCTATCACTAAGGAGTGATATCTCTCCTAATCAGCTGGTTAATGTTCCTATCACTAAGGAGTGATATCTCTCCTAATCAGCTGGTTAATGTTCCTATCACTAAGGAGTGATATTCTCTCCTAATCAGCTGGTTAATGTTCCTATCACTAAGGAGTGATATCTCTCCTAATCAGCTGGTTAATGTTCCTATCACTAAGGAGTGATATCTCTCCTAATTCAGCTGGTTAATGTGCCTATCACTAAGGAGTGATATCTCTCCGAATCAGCTGGTTAATGTTCCTATCACTAAGGAGTGATATCTCTCCTAATCAGCTGGTTAATGTTCCTATCACTAAGGAGTGATATCTCTCCTAATCAGCTGGTTAATGTTCCTATCACTAAGGAGTGATATCTCTCCTAATCAGCTGGTTAATGTTCCTATCACTAAGGAGTGATATCTCTCCTAATCAGCTGGTTATGTTCCTATCACTAAGGAGTGATATCTCTCCTAATCAGCTGGTTAATGTTCCTATCACTAAGGAGTGATATCTCTCCTAATCAGCTGGTTAATGTTCCTATCACTAAGGAGTGATATCTCTCCTAATCAGCTGGTTAATGTTCCTATCACTAAGGAGTGATATCTCTCCTAATCAGCTGGTTAATGTTCCTATCACTAAGGAGTGATATCTCTCCTAATCAGCTGGTTAATGTTCCTATCACTAAGGAGTGATATCTCTCCTAATCAGCTGGTTAATGTTCCTATCACTAAGGAGTGATATCTCTCCTAATCAGCTGGTTAATGTTTCCTATCACTAAGGAGTGATATCTCTCCTAATCAGCTGGTTAATGTTCCTATCACTAAGGAGTGATATCTCTCCTAATCAGCTGGTTAATGTTCCTATCACTAAGGAGTGATATCTCTCCTAATCAGCTGGTTAATGTTCCTATCACTAAGGAGTGATATCTCTCCTAATCAGCTGGTTAATGTTCCTATCACTAAGGAGTGATATCTCTCCTAATCAGCTGGTTAATGTTCCTATCACTAAGGAGTGATATCTCTCCTAATCAGCTGGTTAATGTTCCTATCACTAAGGAGTGATATCTCTCCTAATCAGCTGGTTAATGTTCCTATCACTAAGGAGTGATATCTCTCCTAATCAGCTGGTTAATGTTCCTATCACTAAGGAGTGATATCTCTCCTAATCAGCTGGTTAATGTTCCTATCACTAAGGAGTGATATCTCCCTAATCAGCTGGTTAATGTTCCTATCACTAAGGAGTGATATCTCTCCTAATCAGCTGTTAATGTTCCTATCACTAAGGAGTGATATCTCTCCTAATCAGCTGGTTAATGTTCCTATCACTAAGGAGTGATATCTCTCCTAATCAGATGGTTAATGTTCCTATCACTAAGGAGTGATATCTCTCCTAATCAGCTGGTTAATGTTCCTATCACTAAGGAGTGATATCTCTCCTAATCAGCTGGTTAATGTTCCTATCACTAAGGAGTGATTCTCTCCTAATCAGATGGTTAATGTTCCTATCACTAAGGAGTGATATCTCTCCTAATCAGCTGGTTAATGTTCCTATCACTAAGGAGTGATATATCTCCTAATCAGCTGGTTAATGTTCCTATCACTAAGGAGTGATATCTCTCCTAATCAGCTGGTTAATGTTCCTATCACTAAGGAGTGATATCTCTCCTAATCAGCTGGTTAATGTTCCTATCACTAAGGAGTGATATCTCTCCTAATCAGCTGGTTAATGTTCCTATCACTAAGGAGGGATATCTCTCCTAATCAGCTGGTTAATGTTCCTATCACTAAGGTGGGATATCTCTCCTAATCAGCTGGTTAATATTCCTATCACTAAGGAATGATATCTCTCCTAATCAGCTGGTTAATGTTCCTATCACTAAGGAGTGATATCTCTCCTATTATCTACTGTATTGTTCCTGCTATGTTTCTTAACCACCATTTTAAACATGTACATAATACTGCAACAAAATGAGTCAGTAAAGTCCCTCTCTTCCTCCTCCTCCTCCTCACCTCTCCTCCCGTATCCTCCGTACGCGCTCCGTGTCCTGGCTTCCCTCCTTCCTCCTCCTCCATCCTCACCTCTCCTCCCGTCATCCTCCGTACTCTCTCCTGTCTCGCGTTTCCTCCTCCTCCTCCTCCTCCTCCCTACCTCTCCTGCCTTTCCTCCGTACTCTCTCCGTCTGGCTTCCTCCTCCTCCTCCTCACCTCTCCTCCCGTATCCTCCGTACTCTCTCCTTTCTGGCTTCCTCCTCTTCCCTCCTCCTCACCTCTCCTCCCGTATCCTCCGTACTCTCTCCTGTCTGGCTTTCTTCTCCTGTTCCTCCTCCTCCTCACCTCTCCTCCCGTATCCTCCGTACTCTCTCCTGTCTGGCTTCCTCCTCCTCCTCCTCCTCCTCACCTCTCCTCCCGTATCCTCCGTACTCTCTCCTGTCTGGCTTCCTCCTCCTCCTCCTCCTCCTCACCTCTCCCGTATCCTCCTACTCTTCTCCTGTCTGGCTTCCTCCTCCTCTCCTCCTCCTCCTCACCTCTCCTCCCGTATCCTCCGTACTCTCTCCTGTCTGGCTTCCTCTCCTCCTTCCCCCTCCTCCCCCACCTCTCCTCCCGTATCCTCCGTACTCTCTCCTGTCTGCTTCTTCCTCCTCCCCTCCTCCTCCCCCACCTCTCCCCTCCCGTATCCTCCGTACCTCTCCTGTCTGCTTCCTCCTCCTTTCCCCTCCTCCTCACCCTCCTCCCGTATCTCCGACCTCGTCCTTTTGTTGGCTTCCCCCCCTCCTCCTCCTCCTCCTCACCTCCCCTCCCTTTATCCTCCGTACTCTCTCCTGTCTGGCTTCCCCCTTTCCTCCTCCTCCCCCTCCTCACCTCTCCTCCGTATCCTCCTACTCTCTCCTGTCTGGCTTCCTCCTCCTCCTCCTCTCCTCCTCACCTCTCCTCCCGTATCCTCCGTACTCTCTCCTGTCTGGCTTTCTTCTCCTGTTCCTCCTGAACCCTCTGTTCGGCCGTGTCCTTCTGGACGCGTTCAGAGATGGCTTCGTAGTCTTTAGCGATGTTGTTCAGCAGCCAGTTGAGCCCGTTCTTGATGGACTTGTCCCCCTTCTTACCATAGCCCAGGACAGCAGAACACGGCTCCTGGAAACACACAGGGAGTCAGACCGCTACAGAGACACAGAGGGTTTTATTTCTTAACTCATATTTTATAGACAGCTATTCTCACAAAAGAGAGAACAATATGGGGGTCATCGTTGAAACCAAGAAAAGATGAACTCTTTGCTACTAGAAATGTGTGAACACGTTAAACAATCTTGACCAGCTGCAACAAGGTCCAGCCTCATACCCACAGTACTCCGGTTACTGCAGGTGAAGTATTGAGAGACAAACCACAGCATCACTCACGATCTGACAGAGACACTTGTTCTCGTTCACCAGCTTCTCCAGTGACAGGTTCTCGATGATGTCTGCCTCGGCCAATGCCCCGTCCCGATCCTGCTTGTTAGCCAATCTGTGGAGCCGAAAGGGATTAGTCAGAAAGAGGTGTCAGACAGCAGGCGGTGGGGTGATGTGTGTCTGTCTGCTGGTTCTTCTATCCTTGTGGGGGTCCCTAAAATCCCCCAAAGTCCCCATATAGTAAAACAAGGACAACTCTCCCTCGCGAGGACATTTCCCACGTCCCAATGAGGACAAATGTTATTTTAATCTTAGAAGTTTAGGGTTACAATTGGCCTTAGAATTAGGGTAAGGGGTTAGTGGTTACGGGAAAATAGAATTGAGAAGATAAATGTATTTTAGGTCCCTACGAGGATGAGGATGTGTGTGTGGTGACAGAAACATGTGGCATGGGAGGAGGATACTTCATGATCAAATGCTGCCAGTCAGGGTTCTGCCATTCTAATTCTGTTAACATGGATTCCCCTTTCCCAATAGGTTGTGCAGAATATAATACGCTACTTTAAAAGAAGCAGGCAGACAGGCAGTAACTCATTAGGACAGGTTTAGAGCTCAGACAGTAACTCATTAGGCCAGGTTAGGGCTCAGACAGTAACTCATTAGGCCAGGTTTAGGCTCAGGCAGTAACTCATTAGCCCGGTTAGGCTCAGACGTACCCTAGCCAGGTTGGCTCAGACAGTAACTCATTAGGCCCCAGTTAGGCTCAGCCCGTGACTCACCCTAGGCAGGTTTAGCGCTCAGCATAACTAGGACAGGTTTAGAGCTCAGACTACTCACACTAGACGGTTAGAGTTCAACAGAGTGACTACACTAGGAAGGTTAAGCTCAGCAGAAACTCACACTAGGACAGGTTTAGAGCTCAGACTAACTCACACTAGGACAGGTTTAAAGCTCAGACTAACTCACACTAGTACAGGTTTAGAGCTCAGACAGAGTGACTCACACTAGGACAGGTTTAGCGATCGAGGTGTCGAACCCCAGGCCCGGTTTTTTTTGGGTCGCTCCACACTGGAGGTTTTAACCAGACAACCCCAAGGGCATGTAGAGTTCTCCCGATACCCCTGATTACATTTACATAGCCCTTTAGCAGACTTATCCATAGGGGATTAAGGCAGTGATTAACAAGTTTAGGAGGGGAACAACCAAATCAAAAGCATTTCAAGAGGACCTTTCTTAAAAAGATACACCTAGGGCAGTAGGTAGAAAGATCCAAGGCAGGTTGAGTGAAAGAAAAGGACAAGTTCAAAATACCACACTACATTTTTGATCGCCCAGGTTTCAAGACTTACCTTTCCAAAAGTTCTCCCTGGGGTTTTACCTTCGCAGTACTCCCTAACCGTTCGACTCGCCGTGACTCCACAACATCCCAGCGCTCAGGTGCGGAGGACTCGCCAAGTTGAAAAGACCTGATCCTCTTCCCTCCGCCCAGGTCAAAGATGGTGACCTCAAACTTCCCCTGTTTCAGATCCACCTTGGAGAACCCTACCGTAGGGGCCACGTCCTCTGGGCTCTCTGTGACGCAACAGAACACACGTTCAGTGGTGAGGAGAAGGCCAACGTCATACATTTCTAACAGGAGTATAAAAATAAACAGTGATTCAACTCACCTCCCTGGATCCCGCGTACCGTGGCAGTCTTCCCAGCGTTGTCGAGTCCTACCATCACCAGCGTCACTTTCCTAAAGCACCGAAGAGAAGCTGGGTTACTAGTAGAGATGACACTGGGATTGAATTGTATGACAATATTCACATGGGGGTACTCGAAAATATGGCATGTGACTCATGACGTGTCAATTGTATAAGGATAGAGAGCCACATTAGTAAGCAAGATGTACGTCATTTTAAAGCTTGAGCCACTTCCAAAGCAAGCATTGAGGAAGCATTGTCAGAGCACCTTACCGATCACTGCACCTGTACACAGCCCATCTGTAATTAGCCCACCCAACTACCTCATCCCCATATTGTTATTTATTTTGCTCTTTTGCACCCCAGTATCTCTATTTGCACATCATCTCTTGCACATCTAGCATTCCAGTGTTAATACTAATTGTAATTATTTTGCACTATGGCCTATTTATTGCCTTACCTCCATAACTTGCTACATTTGCACACACTGTATATAGATTTTCTATTGTATTTTTGACTTTGTTTTGTTTTACCCCATATGTAACTCTGTGTTGTTGTTTTTATCGCACTGCTTTGCTTTATCTTGGCCAGGTCGCAGTTGTAAATGAGAACTTGTTCTCAACTGGCTTACCTGGTTAAATAAAGGTGAAATAAAACAAATAAATACATAAAAAAGCATTGAACATTCAAAACGACAGTCTCCACACAGACATGACGAATCGTCTGATATTAGCCTAACGCATTGTCAGGCAGGCAGACAGGCACTGTGGGTAGGTACCACTCATACCCCCACCTCACCCTGTCACTTCAGATGCTGCTGGTTGTGGTGTTTAGCCAGCAGGCCAGGTCCCCTAGTCTACCTCGGGGCTGCTCAGGGCTAACGCTACAGGGATATTACCACAGATTAGGTGAGTCAGCTCTCTCTGTCCATAATCCAGTTGAGCAGCCGGGTAACTCTATGATGTACACAGACAGTGAGGGAGGCGGAGTAAACAACAGACCTATCAGCTACCAATGACATCTATCTCTGTAGCTAGGGGCGGCAGGTAGCTTAGTGGGTAAGAGCGTTGTGCCAGTAACCGAAAGGTCGCTGGTTCTAATCCCCGAGCCGACTAGGTGAAAAATCTGTCGATGTGCCCTTAAGCAAGGCACTTAACCCTAATTGCTCATGTAAGTCGCTCTGGATAAGATAAGATAAATGACTAAAATGTAAAATGTAGCTCAGTTGGTAGAGCACGGCGCTTGTAACGCCAAGGTAGTGGGTTCGATCCCCGGGACCACCCATACGTAAAAATGTATGCACACATGACTGTAAGTCGCTTTGGATAAAAGCGTCTGCTAAATGGCATATTATTATTATTATTATTATTATAATATTATAACACCTTGAGTCATTCCTTAAGTGAGGTTGATAGTAGAACTGTCCGCCATCATTCTATCATTAATTGCCTTCCAATGAATAGGCCTAGATCCTAAATTCACCCTTTCTACTCAGAAAGAGCTTCCCTGTGTCACCTTATAAAAATAGCCAAATTGCATAAAAGTCACCCAGTCATCATTCTTTAAAAAAAAACACACCCAGCCTCTATCAAAAGTGCCTCTGCTATGGAAAACACACACACACACACACACACACACACACACACCACACACACACACACACACACACAACCAGCCTCTATCAAAAGTGCCTCTGCTATGGAAAACACACACACACACACACACACACACAACCAGCCTCTATCAAAAGTGCCTCTGCTATGGAAAACACACACACACACACACACACACACACACACACCCCCAGCCTCTATCAAAAGTGCCTCTGCTATGGAAAACACACACACACACACACACACACACACACACACACACACACACCCCCAGCCTCTATCAAAAGTGCCTCTGCTATGGAAAACACACACACACACACACACACACACACACACCACACACACACACACACACACAGCCTCTATCAAAAGTGCCTCTGCTATGGAAAACACACACACACACACACAACCAGCCTCTATCAAAAGTGCCTCTGCTATGGAAAACACACACACACACACACACACACACACACACACACACACCCAGCCTCTATCAAAAGTGCCTCTGCTATGGAAAACACACACACGCACACCCAGCCTCTATCAAAAGTGCCTCTGCTATGGAAAACACACACACACACACACACACACACCCAGCCTCTATCAAAAGTGCCTCTGCTATGGAAAACACACACTCACACAACACACACACACACACACACACACACGCCAGCTGACCAAATAAACACAGGCCTACCCTCCACATGGAATTGACCAATGACAACAAGCTGACAGAACCAAACAAACACACACTCACACACACACACCCCACATCAACGTCTATTAATACTTGCCTACGGCTCTTCCGCCGTATGGACATCAAGCGGACTATCCAGCGGACAGTCCTCTGGAGCCAGGAGGCCTTCATGTGGGAGCTGGGCTTCAACCGGACCAGACCCAGAGACCACTGGGAGCTAAGGCTTCAACCGGACCAGACCCAGAAACCACTGGGAGCTGGGCTTCAACCGGACCAGACCCAGAGACCACTGGGAGCTAAGGCTTCAACCGGACCAGACCCAGAGACCACTGGGAGCTAAGGCTTCAACCGGACCAGACCCAGAAACCACTGGGAGCTAAGGCTTCAACCGGACCAGACCCAGAGACCACTGGGAGCTAAGGCTTCAACCGGACCAGACCCAGAGACCACTGGGAGCTAAGGCTTCAACCGGACCAGACCCAGAGACCACTGGGAGCTGGGCTTCAACCGGACCAGACCCAGAGACCACTGGGAGCTAAGGCTTCAACCAGACCAGACCCAGAGACCACTGGGAGCTGGGCTTCAACCGGAGCAGACCCAGAGACCACTGGGAGCTAAGGCTTCAACCGGACCAGACCCAGAGACCACTGGGAGCTGGGCTTCAACCGGACCAGACCCAGAGACCACTGGGAGCTAAGGCTTCAACCGGACCAGACCCAGAGACCACTGACCGACAGACGTGAGGGACAGTAACTAGTAGCCACACCACGTCCAGTCAATATACAGTAGGCCACTCCCCCTGACAGCAGACGTTTAACACACCCCGCCCCCACTCGACAGGCCCAGAGAGCTGCAGGATTAGCTCGGGATTTCCAATGAAGTCGTCTGAGGAACCTTAAGTCTCTCTACAGTGGGACACGTGGTCTCTCACCCTACTCTGCCTGTTTAGGGTCACTGTGTCACTGTCTCCCCTCCCTGAGGTTCTTTCTTAAAAGGGTTATTTTCCCAATTCATATTTCCTTGATTCCTCTCATCCTCTCTCCTCACCTCCTTCTCAAAACTTGTTGAAAGAAAAGGTCAGAGGGGAGAGGACAGGGACCTTGGATCTTTTTTTCCAATGCATTTTGAGGAGACGAAGAGTCGGGACATGAGGAATGGAGGAAAGAGGAACTGGGAGAGAGCCTAGGTCTAATCATAAAGGCCACCTCTGATACAACACCTAGAGTCCTGTCATTAAACCTGGGAGAGAGCCTAGGTCTAATCATAAAGGGCCAGGCCACCTCTGATACAACACCTAGAGTCCTGTCATTAAACCTGGGAGAGAGCCTAGGTCTAATCATAAAGGCCACCTCTGATACAACACCTAGAGTCCTGTCATTAAACCTGGGAGAGAGGTCTAATCATAAAGGCCACCTCTGATACAACACCTAGAGTCCTGTCATTAAACCTGGGAGAGAGGTCTAAAGGCCACCTCTGATACAGTGGGGAAAAAAGTATTTAGTCAGCCACCAATTGTGCAAGTTCTCCCACTTAAAAAGATGAGAGAGGCCTGTAATTTTCATCATAGGTACACGTCAACTATGACAGACAAATTGAGAAGAAAAAATCCAGAAAATCACATTGTAGGATTTTTAATGAATTTATTTGCAAATTATGGTGGAAAATAAGTATTTGGTCACCTACAAAGAAGCAAGATTTCTGGCTCTCACAGACCTGTAACTTCTTCTTTAAGAGGCTCCTCTGTCCTCCACTCGTTACCTGTATTAATGGCACCTGTTTGAACTTGTTATCAGTATAAAAGACACCTGTCCACAACCTCAAACAGTCACACTCCAAACTCCACTATGGCCAAGACCAAAGAGCTGTCAAAGGACACCTGAAACAAAATTGTAGACCTGCACCAGGCTGGGAAGACTGAATCTGCAATAGGTAAGCAGCTTGGTTTGAAGAAATCAACTGTGGGAGCAATTATTAGGAAATGGAAGACATACAAGACCACTGATAATCTCCCTCGATCTGGGGCTCCACGCAAGATCTCACCCCGTGGGTCAAAATGATCACAAGAACGGTGAGCAAAAATCCCAGAACCACACGGGGGGACCTAGTGAATGACCTGCAGAGAGCTGGGACCAAAGTAACAAAGCCTACCATCAGTAACACACTACGCCGCCAGGGACTCAAATCCTGCAGTGCCAGACGTGTCCCCCTGCTTAAGCCAGTACATGTCCAGGCCCGTCTGAAGTTTGCTAGAGTGCATTTGGATGATCCAGAAGAGGATTGGGAGAATGTCATATGGTCAGATGAAACCAAAATATAACTTTTTGGTAAAAACTCAACTCGTCGTGTTTGGAGGACAAAGAATGCTGAGTTGCATTCAAAGAACACCATACCTACTGTGAAGCATGGGGGTGGAAACATCATGCTTTGGGGCTGTTTTTCTGCAAAGGGACCAGGATGACTGATCCGTGTAAAGGAAAGAATGAATGGGGCCATGTATCGTGAGATTTTGAGTGAAAACCTCCTTCCATCAGCAAGGGCATTGAAGATGAAACGTGGCTGGGTCTTTCAGCATGACAATAATTCCAAACACACCGCCCGGGCAACGAAGGAGTGGCTTCGTAAGAAGCATTTCAAGGTCCTGGAGTGGCCTAGCCAGTCTCCAGATCTCATCCCCATAGAAAATCTTTGGAGGGAGTTGAAAGTCCGTGTTGCCCAGCGACAGCCCCAAAACATCACTGCTCTAGAGGAGATCTGCATGGAGGAATGGGCCAAAATACCAGCAACAGTGTGTGAAAACCTTGTGAAGACTTACAGAAAACGTTTGACCTGTGTCATTGCCAACAAAGGGTATATAACAAAGTATTGAGAAACTTTTGTTATTGACCAAATACTTATTTTCCACCATAATTTGCAAATAAATTCATTAAAAATCCTACAATGTGATTTTCTGGATTTCTTTTTCTCATTTTGTCTGTCATAGTTGACGTGTACCTATGATGAAAATTACAGGCCTCTCTCATCTTTTTAAGTGGGAGAACATGCACAATTGGTGGCTGACTAAATACTTTTTTTCCCCACTGTACAACACCTAGAGTCCTGTCATTAAACCTGGGAGAGAGGTCTAATCATAAAGGCCACCTCTGATACAACACCTAGAGTCCTGTCATTAAACCTGGGAGAGAGCCTAGGTCTAATCATAAAGGCCACCTCTGATACAACACCTAGAGTCCTGTCATTAAACCTGGGAGAGAGCCTAGATCTAATCATAAAGGCCACCTCTGATACAACACCTAGAGTCCTGTCATTAAACCTGGGAGAGAGGTCTAATCATAAAGGCCACCTCTGATACAACACCTAGAGTCCTGTCATTAAACCTGGGAGAGAGCCTAGGTCTAATCATAAAGGCCACCTCTGATACAACACCTAGAGTCCTGTCATTAAACATGGGAGAGAGGTCTAATCATAAAGGCCACCTCTGATACAACACCTAGAGTCCTGTCATTAAACCTGGGAGAGAGCCTTGGTCTAATCATAAAGGCCACCTCTGATACAACACCTAGAGTCCTGTCATTAAACCTGGGAGAGAGCCTAGGTCTAATCATAAAGGCCACCTCTGATACAACACCTAGAGTCCTGTCATTAAACCTGGGAGAGAGGTCTAATCATAAAGGCCACCTCTGATACAACACCTAGAGTCCTGTCATTAAACCTGGGAGAGAGCCTAGGTCTAATCATAAAGGCCACCTCTGATACAACACCTAGAGTCCTGTCATTAAACCTGGGAGAGAGCCTAGGTCTAATCATAAAGGCCACCTCTGATACAACACCTAGAGTCCTGTCATTAAACCTGGGAGAGAGCCTAGGTCTAATCATAAAGGCCACCTCTGATACAACACCTAGAGTCCTGTCATTAAACCTTGAGGGATTTTGTGCCTGGGCTCTGGGATCAGTTTGGTGGCCTCCTTGAGATATGTTGTGCCTGGGCTCTGGGATCAGTTTGGTGGCCTCCTTGAGAGATGTTGTGACCGGGCTCTGGGATCAGTTTGGTGGCCTCCTTGAGAGATGTTGTGACTGGGCTCTGGGATCAGTTTGATAGCTCTGAGGCAAAAGGACATGTCGCGTTTCAGCGCTTTACAAACCTGACACGCAATGACAGAGAAGAGGCAACAAACACGCTGAGTCGTGACAGGAAACAAACACGCTGTCGTGACAGGAAACAAACACGCCGAGTCGTGACAGGAAACAAACACGCTGAGTCGTGACAGGAAACAAACACGCCGAGTCGTGACAGGAAACAAACACGCCGAGTCGTGACAGGAAACAAACACGCTGAGTCGTGAGAGGAAACAAACACGCCGAGTCGTGACAGGAAACAAACACGCTGAGTCGTGAGAGGCGGAGCCTGACTGTGGTTTATCACTGACAGGTCAGCAGAAATGTGCTGTCAGTGTGTTCACTGTTATGACTGACACACTTATCGCAGAGTTAGAAAGGTGGCATGAGTCATACAAAGTGCTAAACAACTGCTTTGGATTTTTAAACAATACGCCTTCACTTTCCTCACAACAAATACATTCATCTGCACTCAACCTTCAGAGGAAATATCAATCTGACTTGCAACATGATTTTCCAGATGAGATCGTCCAATTTAAATAATTTTTTTTTTTTTTTAAAGAGTGAGAGGAAACATCTGCCAGGGCATTGCTTCACATGTTGAGACGGGAATCTACAAGCAGTCTTTCCCAATGTTCACATTGCCTTGTGAATATTCTTGACTTTACCTGTTACCAATGCATCAGTGGAGCGGTCCTTTTCAAAGCTGGCTCTTGTCAAAAACAGACTGAGCTCAACGATGGGACAGGAAACACAACCATTTGACTCTCATGGCTCCTGAGAATGATGGACTCAGGGCACTCCTGTACTCCCTGTTCACCCACGGCTGCGTGGCCAAGCACACCTCCAACTCAATCATTAAGTTGCAGACGACACAACAGTAGTAGGCTTGATTACCAACAATGACGAGACAGCCTACAGGGAGGAGGTGAGGGCTCTGGGAGTGTGGTGCCAGGAAAATAACCTCTCACTCAACATCAACAAAACAAAGGAGATGATCGTGGACTTCAGGAAACAGCAGTGGGTGCACCCCCCTATCCACATCGACGGGACCGCAGTGGAGAAGGTGGAAAGCTTCAAGTTCCTCGGCATACACATCACTGACAAACTGAAATGGTCCACCCACACAAACCATGTGGTGAAGAAGGCGCAACAGAGCCACTTCAACCTCAGGAGACTAAAGAAATTTGGCTTGGCACCTAAAATCCTCACAAACTTTTACAGATGCACAATTGAGAGCTTCCTGTCGGGCTGTATCACCGCCTGGTACGGCAACTGCACCGCCCGCAACCGCAGGGCTCTCCACAGGGTGGTGCGGTCTGCACAACGCATTACCAGGGACAAACTATCCTCCCTCCAAGACACCTACAGCACCCGATGTCACAGGAAGGCCAAAAAGATCATCAAGGACAACAACCAACCGAGCCACTGCCTATTCACCCCGCTATCATCCAGAAGGCGAGGTCAGAACAGGTGCATCAAAGCTGGGACCGAGAGACTGAAAAACAGCTTCTATCTCAAGGCCATCAGACTGTTAAATAGCCATCACTAGCACATTAGAGGCTGCTGCTGCCTATTGAAATCACTGGCCACTTTAAGAAATGGAACACTAGTCACTTTAATAATGTTTCCATATCTTGCACTACTCATCTCATATGTATATACTGCATTCTATTCTATAATATTCTACTGTATCTTAGACCATGCCGCTCTGTCATTGCTTGTCCATATATGTATATATTCTTAATTCCATTCCTTACTTAGATTTGTGTGTATTGGGTATATGTTGTGAAATTGTTAGATATTACTTGTTAGATATTACTGCACTGTCGGAGCTAGAAGCACAAGCGTTTCGCTACACCCGCAATAACATCTGCTAAACACGTGTATGTGACCAATACAATTTGATTTGGACTTGATTTCAAGTACATAGTGGCACATTTTGCCGCTTGGACAACGAGGAAGAAATCACTTTACGGTAAGCCATGATGACACTTTCTGGAATACATGAATGCACTGCATAAGGCCTAACGCTGATCCGCTGGAGACGGCTGGAGACGGCTGGAGACGGCTGGAGAGGCTCTGGCCAGCCAGCTGGTGGCGCTGGCCCTCACTCTGGTTCTCTTTACGAAGACTGTGCGGATGGCTGATTCTCATGAAACCAACAAACCACGTCTGTGATGAATTCAGCTATATAGCCTTTACATTTTGTTTAAATATAATTTACCATCATATTAAGGGTCACTATGCTTGGTTTTCTGGCTCTATGTTAAGGGTGTCAGAAATAACTGACACCCCTTAACGTAGCGCTCCAGTCAGTTTTAGAATAAATATCTCAAAAAAACGAAAAGCATCATTTTTGGGACAAATCACTCGCTCAACGCTAAACCTCGTTTAGATCTATTATTGAATAATGTGGCTATTGAGCAAGTTGAGGAGACTAAACTGCTGGGTGTAACCCTAGATAGCAAGCTGTCATGGTCAAAACATATAGACTCCATGGTTGCTAAAATGGGAAGAGGTCTGTCCATGATAGGACGTTGCTCTGCCTTCTTGACATCTCAGTCGACCAGACAGGTCCTACAGGCCCTAGTTTTGTCGCACCTGGACTACTTCCCAGCTGTGTGATCGTGTGCAGCAAAGAAGGAGACAGGTAAAAATGCAGTTGGTCCAGAACAAAGCAGCAAGTGTCAGTAACACGCATGTCAGTCTCTCCTGGCTCAAAGTTGAGGAGAGATTGACTGCATCACTATTGGTCTTCGTGCGAGGTGTCGATGTGTTGAAGGTACCGAACTGTCTGTTCAAGCTGTTGGCACATAGTTCGGACGCTCATCGGTACAACACAAGACATGCCACCAGAGGTCTCTTCACAGTCCCCAGGTCCTGGGAAACACAAAGTATTAAATAGAGCCACGACTACATGGAACTCTCTGCCACCCCAATAAAACCAGTTAAAAACCAGATAAAATAACACCTTACTTCAAAGGGGACTGTGAAGAGACAGCCATTTTATATAGTGTGTATTGTAATTTGCGCTGTACTATGTATTAGATTTAGATAGTGTGTGTATGTACTGATATGTAGGCTATGTGTGACGTTTTAAATGTACGTATTTCAGTCCTTGACTAATAAATGTTCTGTACTATGTACTATGTACTATGTTTAATGTGGACCCCAGGAAGAGTAGCTGATGCTTTTACAGAGGCTAATGGGGATCCTAATAAATACCAACTTTAATCTTATTTTTGTGTTTTTTTTTTAAATAAAATGTTTACTCAAAATCTCATTATCGTAATGATTCCAGGTACATTTGTAGGAATTTACATGGATTTAATTTATTAAAAAAATAACTAACATATTTAATTAAAAGCAATGAAATACTGTTTAAAGTGGTACAGTTATAATTTCTGGGTATTCACATTACAAATTAGTCATATTCTAGAAGAAAAAAAAACTTGTGTCCGAGCTTGTGTTTCTCATTACCGTAGCATTTCTTCAAGTTCTTCAACAAAATACTGTTTTTTTAAATAACGTTTTTTCAACCCATAATGCATTACTAAGAAGAGAAGATCAAAGATGGCTGCAAGGTAAGCTAGTCTTTTCTCTTTTATTATGTTTAAAAATGTGATCATTTTCCTTGTACACCCCATTTACCCATTTTAAGATTATTATTACCGTAACTGTGTAATAATAATACTTCATGTTGTTCTGTTGAGTCAAAATGGGTTCTGTCATTGTTAGCTAAAATGGCTTCTAATTACCGTAATGACCCATCCTCATTACCATGCCATATTGGTTGTCTGTTTACGGTAATTAGAAGTTCAGTTACGGTAATAATAAAAACGGTTTCTTATGCAGGTCCAATGCAACTCCGTCACACTATGTTTACAACAGATACGCCGCTAACCAAACAGTGCTAGGTGCATGCACACTTGAATTAAAGGGCGACTAGTATGAACTAGTATAGGGGCGGCAGGTAGCTTTAGTGGGTAAGAGCGTTGTGCCAGTAACCGAAAGGTCGCTGGTTCTAATCCCCGAGCCGACTAGGTGAAAAATCTGACGATGTGCCCTTAAGCAAGGCACTTAACCCTAATTGGTCCTGTAAGTCGCTCTGGATAAGAGCGTCTGCTAAATGACTCAAATGTAAAATGTATCCTCTGGGAGTTTCCCAGACCTAAATGGTCTCCTGATGTGGTTTAAGCATTGGTAGCACATCCAATGGAGTTGTTTTTCTTTAAGAAAAGGTGTGATTTTAAGACTAAAAACATGGAGAAAAAAATCTGGACAACCACCACCACTCCACCCTTCCATGAACCTTTCGCGTCCCACCACTGCTAATTATATATATGGGAAACACTGAGTTACCATTTATAATTTACAGGCTTCCCACCACTGCTAATTATATATATGGGAAACACTGAGTTACCATTTATAATTTACAGGCTTTTAAAAAAAAGGCACATTACACTTAAAAATCTCAAGTTTGTCTGATGTTTTCAGAACTCAAAAGTGGTGTTCTGTCAACAAACGTCCCCATCCTAGACCATCTGTTGTATAGATCCAGCTGTATGCAAACAATCCTAAATGAATTAAAAGATGAGCACCAAATCATTTCCTGGTTTGTGGTGCTTATCTTTTCCGTTAAGACTAAACTCCTTGGTGTTCTATTAGATCGTGAACTGTCATGGTCAAAGCATTTTGATTCTACTGTTGTACTGACTGGGAGAGGTTTGTCTGCGATAAAAAAAGAGATGCTCTGATTTTTTTAACATCCCATGCAACCAAACAAGTCTCGCAAGCTCTGGTTTTGTCACATGACTATTGCCTAAGTTGTATGGTCAGGTGCGGCAAAGAAAATGACCTAGAAAAGCTGCAGCTGGCCCAGAACAGAGCAGCACGTCTGGCTCTCAAATGTACACAGCAGGCCTATGTCAATAACATTCAGGTCAGACTCTCCTGGTTCAGAGTGGAGGAGAGATTGACTGCATCACTGCTGGTCTTTGTAAGAAGTATTGATGTGCTGAAAGTACTGAATTGTCTCTTCACAGTCCCCAAGTTCAGAACAGAGGCTGGGAGACACGCAACCAGGGGTCTCTTCACAGTCCCCAAGTCCAGAACAGAGGCTGGGAGAAACAGTAACCAGGGGTCTCTTCACAGTCCCCAAGTCCAGAACAGAGGCTGGGAGACACACAATTAGGGGTCTCTTCACAGTCCCCAAGTCCAGTACAGAGACTGGGAGACACAGTAACCAGGGGTCTCTTCACAGTCCCCAAGTCCAGTACAGAGACTGGGAGACACAGTAACCAGGGGTCTCTTCACAGTCCCCAAGTCCAGAACAGAGACTGGGAGACACAGTAACCAGGGGTCTCTTCACAGTCCCCAAGTCCAGAACAGAGGCTGGGAGACACAGTAACCAGGGGTCTCTTCACAGTCCCCAAGTCCAGTACAGAGGCTGGGAGACACAGTAACCAGGGGTCTCTTCACAGTCCCCAAGTCCAGTACAGACGCTGGGAGACACAGTAACCAGGGGTCTCTTCACAGTCCCCAAGTCCAGAACAGAGGCTGGGAGACACACAATTAGGGGTCTCTTCACAGTCCCCAAGTCCAGAACAGAGACTGGGAGACACAGTAACCAGGGGTCTCTTCACAGTCCCCAAGTCCAGTACAGAGACTGGGAGACACAGTAACCAGGGGTCTCTTCACAGTCCCCAAGTCCAGAACAGAGGCTGGGAGACACACAATTAGGGGTCTCTTCACAGTCCCCAAGTCCAGAACAGAGGCTGGGAGACACACAATTAGGGGTCTCTTCACAGTCCCCAAGTCCAGCACAGACGCTGGGAGACACAGTAACCAGGGGTCTCTTCACAGTCCCCAAGTCCAGAACAGAGGCTGGGAGACACACAATTAGGGGTCTCTTCACAGTCCCCAAGTCCAGTACAGAGACTGGGAGACACAGTAACCAGGGGTCTCTTCACAGTCCCCAAGTCCAGTACAGAGACTGGGAGACACAGTAACCAGGGGTCTCTTCACAGTCCCCAAGTCCAGCACAGAGGCTGGGAGACACACAATTAGGGGTCTCTTCACAGTCCCCAAGTCCAGCACAGACGCTGGGAGACACAGTAACCAGGGGTCTCTTCACAGTCCCCAAGTCCAGAACAGAGGCTGGGAGACACACAATTAGGGGTCTCTTCACAGTCCCCAAGTCCAGCACAGACGCTGGGAGACACAGTAACCAGGGTTCTCTTCACAGTCCCCAAGTCCAGAACAGAGGCTGGGAGACACACAGTACCGTAAAAGCTTCTTAAAAAAAAAAAAAAGTGGATTGTTTTAAATCGCAATGCCTACAGTTGGGATGAAAGGTAGGGCGCACAATATGGGCAGATTGTGGTCCTCTGTAGCTCAGCTGGTAGAGCACGGCGCTTGTAACGCCAAGGTAGTGGGTTCGATCCCCGGGACCACCCATACACAAATAAATGTATGCACGCATGACTGTAAGTCGCTTTGGATAAAAGCGTCTGCTAAATGGCATATTATTATTATTATTATATTATTGTTGAGTTGTGGCTGTCTGAAAAGTAGAGAAGAGATTCTGCAAATGCCTCCAGTCATATAAAGTGTAGTAGAATTGCATGAAATGCGTTTATAAAAAGAAGAAACGTAGGCTCTCTCATGTAGCCTACAGCACGGATCATCAACAACATTCCTCTCATATAGCCTACAGCACGGATCATCAACAACATTCCTCTCATACAGCCTACAGCACGGATCATCAACAACATTCCTCTCATATAGCCTACAGCACGGATCATCAACAACATTCCTCTCATATAGCCTACAGCACGGATCATCAACAACATTCCTCTCATATAGCCTACAGCACGGATCATCAACAACATTCCTCTCATATAGCCTACAGCGCGGATCATCAACAACATTCCTCTCATAAAGCCTACAGCGCGGATCATCAACAACATTCCTCTCATATAGCCTACAGCGCGGATCATCAACAACATTCCTCTCATATAGCCTACAGCGCGGATCATCAACAACATTCCTCTCATATAGCCTACAGCGCGGATCATCAACAACATTCCTCTCATATAGCCTACAGCGCGGATCATCAACAACATTCCTCTCATATAGCCTACAGCGCGGAT